AGCCTGGACGGCATCGGCCGCCGCTCTTCATGCCCGACGACGAGGGCAGCGTGGTGGGGCTGCCGCTGCGGCACCGTGCGCAGTGGGTCGGCGGCGAGAGCGCGCTGCCCTACGCATGCGACCGCTGCGGAGTCCGCTGCAGGGACCGAGCCCAGCTGGAGGCGGGGCTGTGCCGCGGGACGCCTGCTGCCGTGCTGGCGGCCGACGCGTCGCACCGGCTGATGACCATGGGAGACGTGGTGTTCTGCAGCGCATGCGGTGCAAGGGCAAGCGGAGGTGCGGCTGTCCTGCTGGCGGCGAAGTGCTTGGGCAAGATCGCCAACGCCACGGCGGGCACGAGGCTCAACAGGATGAAGGCGGGGAAGCACCCGATCAAGGGCCACTACATCGGCGAGCCCGTCCAGCTGGAGGCGCGCCTCACGGAGACCCCAGCGGACGAGGTGCCGACATCGGCATGAAGTTCGTGGGCGGCTCGCCGCCCAGCCTGGGCTCTGCTGCGGCCGTTCGGCCTGCTGGGCGGCTGAGGGAGGGCGCTGGGCGGCGAGAGGCCCCTGGCGTGGCGCGGAGGCGGCCTGCGCCGCGACGCGCCTGCGCCGAGGTGGGCTGGCGGCTGAGGCCGTAGGCCCGTGCCCGCCCGCGCGGCGGCGGCGGTCGGCGCCGTGTCGCGAGGGCGGTCCGCGCCCGCGGCGGCGAGGCGGGGGGCCGCCACGCCGCTCGGGCGCTCGGGCGGCGCGCCGAGACAGACGGCCCGCCGCGCAAGTGGGTGCGGCTCCCATCACTGGCTCCCCCTCTTCATCCTCCTCCTCCCTCCCCCTCTCAACCCTCCCCCTCCTCGCATCTTCTCCCTCTCCTCCTCCTCCTCCTCCAACCTCCAACCTCCTCCTCCTCCTCCTCCCCCTTCTCCTCCTCCTCCTCCTTTCTCCTGTATATCGGGGAGGGGCGAGGAGGGAGAAGGGGGGGGGGCACCTGAACAGGGCCTCCTGCGCGCAGCCCCTCAGCGTGGGCGACTGCCTGTAGTGGCTCCACAGCGAGAGGATCTCGGAAAGGGAGGGGGGGGGGCAGGGAGCGGGGGGGGCGGGGGGAGGGGGACGCGAGAGCACCCCCCCCTGCCTTCCGCTGCCCCTTCAAGGGGTGGGACGTGGAGCTGCACGTCTCCTCCTCAGCCTCGTCCCCCTCCCGCCTCTCCTCCGTTCTTTTCAACATCCTCTTGTGTCCTCCTTCTACGTCCTTCTCCTCCATCCCTTCTCCTCCTCCGTCATACCTCCCCCTCCTTCGTCTTCCATGATCCTTCTTGATTTCCTCCTCCTCCTCCTCCTCCTCCTCCTCCTCCTCTTGCACCTCCTCCAACTGTGATTCCGTTTTTCCTCGTCATCAACAACCTCATCATCATCATCACCAACAGCACCATCAGTATCATCATCGTCAGCATCGTCATCGTCATCATCATCATAATCATCAGCATCATCATCATCATCAGCAGCAGCAGCAGCATCATCAGCATCGTAATCATCATCAGCAGCATCATCATCAGCATCGTCATCATCATCATCAGCAGCATCGTCAGCGGCATCGTCAGCATCATCGTCAGCATCTACAGCAGCAGCAGCAGTATCAGCATCATCACCACCACCACCAGCAACATCATCAGTATCAACAACATCGCCAACACCAACATCATCATCATCATCATACAGCAGCAAACATCAGTCTTCATCAGTCGTCATCGTCATAATCATCACGAACAGCTGCACCAGTCAGCACCATCAGTCAGCATCACTCGTCATGATCACCATGATCAGCAGCACAACCATCAGCATACTCATCAGCATCATCGGTAGCAGCACCATCGTCAGCATCGTCATGATCATGATCATCCTCATCAGCATCATCATCATCACCACCATCATCATCATCATCAGCATCATCATCTGCATCATCACTATCATCATCATCAGTAGCATCATCATAATCATCCGCATCAGTAGCGTCGTCGTCAACGGCATCGTCATCGTCCTCGTCATTGTCAGCATCGTCATCATCATCAGCATCTGCACCATCACCATCAGCATTATCATAAGCACAATCAATCATCCTACCCCTCATCATGATCGTCAGCAGCCGCGGCAGCAGCATCAACATCAGCATGATCGTCCTCGGCATCATCATTATCATCATCATCATCATCAGCATCATCAGCGTCATCAGCATCATCATCAGCAACAGCGGCAGCAGCAGCAGAAACATCTACATCATCACCATCACCAGGATCCGCATCATGATCACCGTTATCATCGTCATCAGCAGCAGCAGCATCAGCACCATCACCATGGCACCATCTTCTCCTTCATGTGCATCTTCATCATCGGCATCTTCATCACCACCACAAACCATATGCATCATAGCATCTACATCACATGCATCAGAACCACCACCAACCATTACCCATCACTCATCACCATCAGTCAATCACCAGTCAACATCATCAGCATAATCACCATATCATCATCACCACCACCGCGGCCACCATCACCACAACCAACATACTCGTCATCACTATCAGCATCCTCATGAGCATCCTCATCATCCTCATCATCCCCATCCTCACCATCATCATCATTATCAGCAGTCACAGCATCATAATAATCATCAGCATCATCATCAACTTCATCACCCGTAGCAACAGCAGCAACAGCATCAGCATAGTAGTTATCATCGTGTCACATCACTTGGACCTCCTCTCTCCTCCTCCTCCTCCTCCTCCTCCTCCTCCTCCTACTCCTCCTCCTCCTCCTCCTCCTCCTGCTCTTCCTCCTTCTCCTCCTCTTCCTCCTCTTGCTCCTCCTCCTCCTCCTCCCCTCCTCCTCCTCCTCCTCCTCCACCTCCTACGCCTGCCCTCTTGCGTCTCCTCTCTCACCCTCTGTCCTCCCTCCGCCCGTAGCCATTTTGCCTAAAAGTTTACCATTTCTCAAGCTGGCCGGGCAGAAACCGCTTGCCCAGGGCGGCACGCGGCCGCCGCGGGATAGCGTGGGCTTGAGCTTCCTTTGGCTCGGGTTCAGGGCGGGAGATGCGGATTCAGATGCCCACGCCAGAGAAGGTCACCAGCGAGGGCTTCGGGAGACGCAGCGGCGGGACTCCTGAGAAGACCGACCGCTGCGAGTAAACTCGACGGCGTGGCGTCCATGGTCCCTCCTGCAGGGCAGTACACCATCGTACCACGTGATTCCCAACGGCGTGGAGCACTACAACATGTCGTGCGAGGTTAGTACGGGAAATCACACCGCGGAGAAGAGGAGAACAATGACAACTCCGAGGACACGAAGGCCGGGCAGCCTGCCTCGGGAGGCCCTCGGAGGCCCACTGTGGGCAACACAACAAAACAATCGATCCTCCCCTCGCCCTCGTCGTCCTCCAATCCCCCTCCCCCCCCCCATCCCACTTCAGTCCTCTCGTCCTCCTCGCCCTCCAATCCCCCTCCCACCCCCTCTCCCACCCACTCGTTCCGCACGTTCCCCACGTTCCCACCCCCTCTCCCACCCCCTCGTTCCCTCCCACCCCCTCGTTCCCCACCCCCTCTCCCACCCCTTCTCCCACCCCCTCCTCTCCCTCCGTCCCCCCCGTGCCGCCCCTCGCCCTCCTCTTGCCGACCCTGCCGCGAGGCGGCGCCGCGCCGAGCAGAGGCAGCATCGGCAGCACAACAAAGGGGAGAGGGAAGAAGGTCCCCATCTAGACAGCTCAGTTCCTGGCACTTTCATCTGCGAGCGGCTGTGTGAAAAAAATCTTAGCCTGTGGCGACGGCCTCAAGGCGGCTCGAGGTGGAGCTGGAATCAGTGAAGCAGATAGAATCAGTGGACAGATGGCAGACTCTTTTGGAGGACGTTCGCATTCTCGCCTTGCAGGCTTACATGGCTTCAAAGCATTGTGTCGCGTGCGTGCGCACGGCGCACATACACTTTCGAGAATCCTCGCAGATTTCATGGATCGGCGCTGGAACCCCCTCCCGGTGGGGACACGCGACATGTCAAGCATGAGTGGGAGCCTGGGTGCGAGGAGGAATGGGGGCCGGAAGAAGGTGAAGCATGGCACTAAACACAAAACACACACATTGGGGGGGAGTGGGAGGTGGAGGAGGGGAGGTGGAGGAGGAGGAGCAGGAGGAGGAGAAGGAGGAGAAGGAGGGCGAGGACGATGGCGAGTAGAGGCCAGGAGTTGGATACTGCAGAAGGGGGAGCATGAGGGGCAGGAGAAGTGTGAATAGCGGTAGGAGGCGGAGGGTGGAGGAGGGGCACGCGGATGTGCAGTAAGAGGAGGGAAAGGAGGAGGCGGAGGAGGAGGAGGAGTAAGACGTGAAGGAAAGGGGCAGGTAGAGTAGGAGGAGAACGAGAAGCAGGAATTGGTGCGGAAGGAGGAGGAGGACGAGGAAGAAGAGGAGGCCGACAATGAAGAAAGGCAGGAGGAGGAGCATGGAGGACGAGAAGGAGCTGGCCCCTCCCCAAAGCGAACCCTCGCAGGCGCGAGAAGGGGGTCTGCCCGGGCGAGCGGGAACGCGCTCGCGCGGGGCCTTGGCGAACGCGCCGAAACGGCCCTCCACCGGGAACGCCGCGGTGTCCACCCGGCCGGCGGGATCCACCTCGGCGCACGCCCGCAGCACAGAGATCATCTGCGCGGTGGTGGCCTCTGGGCGACGACGGCGACCTGGACGGCGACGGCGGCGGCGACGACGGTGGCGGCGACGACGACGAGGAAGGAGGGCGACGGCGACGGCGGCGAAGACGGCGGCAGAGGCGGCGACGACAGGCAGCGAGGAACCAAGAGGAGGGAGGTGTGGTTCAACGGTGGCATGACGGTCAACGTGTGCTCAAACTGCAACTCTCTACTTGACATCGCTCGGACGTCCATTCCCTGTGCATTGTTCCGGTTTCGTGCGTGCTTTGATTTGCTAGATGATCCAGGATGCTCCTCCAGGGTCCTCGCCGAGAATAAAATGCTCACGTCCGAGCGATGTCAGGTCTAGAAAACGCTCAGGAAGGCCCCTGGAAGGAACGCTAGACAGAGAACAACATGCATCAGAATCTGAATCCGATTGAGCCGCGCCAAGAAGCTATGCGCAGCAACCCGCACTCCCTGACCGCGGCTCGGTCAGCCGCTATACGGGCTGACTGTTCGTCAGGTAACTCCAACACTTGCCGTCGCTCGGACGTCCATTCCCTGTGTTTTTGTGCGGTTTCGTGCGTGGTTGTTTCGCGAAATGGTCAAGGATACTCCACGATGGTCCTCGCCGAAGAAGAAATGCACACGTCCGAGCGATGCCAAGAACAGAGGAAGAGGAGGGAGGAGGGAGGAGGGAGATGGTAGAGAACAGGAGCGAAGACGGGAGAGGGGAGGACTACAAGGGGGGGACCAGAGGACGAGAGTGAGCAGCAGCAGCAGCAGGTCCAAAAAGGAGGGCGCGATGGCATCGGGGGGGGGGTCGTCCGCCCCCCGCCCTAGCCATCCCTCCGTCCCTTCCCCGTTCCCCATTCCCCCCTCCCTCGGGGGGGCAGCATCTGCCTCTCGGAGGAGGTGCGCCCACTGCACCTCCGACTATCATCGCCCCGCTTGACATCCGACTGTGCCATTCACCTAGCCTGCCACTCACCGCGAGCGCACCTAGCTTGCCATTCACCCCTCCCTCGGGGAGGCAGCATTTACCTCTCGAAGGTGCGCCCACTGCACCTCCGACCCCCTCCGCCTTCCCCGCCTCCCATGCCGTGCACCCTTCGCCTCGGCGCGATCTTGACGTCTCCACGACGCGAGAAGGGCCCAGGCCTGGGAATAGACTATTGAAGGGGCCCGGGGACACACAAATCAATACACCCAAATAACAGGATTTCCCATATTTTCCGATAGTTTCTGAGTTTCTGTCTTCCACCCCACTTCCCATAGTTTCCCATATCTCCTGGGGATCGACGATGAATTGTGTCTGTGTGTGTTTTCTCCTCCTGAACTGTGAAGATCGGCCCCTGACGTCTTCTGGAGGCGCGTTTTTACGGGGACTCGACGGGGAATGCGGCAGTGGGTGGCGGCCTCCAGGAGGTCTACCAAACGGGGAAGAACAACCAGAAGCTTCGATCCTGGCAGGCGAGCCCAGAATCGAATCGATACATCGGATCGGCGAGCGAAAGGAATCGGACCGGCAGGAATCGGCAGCCGAGTCGGGAAAAGTCGGATCGGCGGAAATCGGCAGGCTGGTATGCCTCCAGTAAGACATCGGAACCCAAACTGGAACCCAAATCGGAATCCCGAACCGAATCGAATCGAGATCGGAGACCGTCGAAGTCGAATCGGATCGGATCGGAGGAACCGAAACGAGCCCTGAGAGCATCCAAGAGCTTCGACCGTGGTCCGCTCGTCGAGCTGCGCCCCGCCGCAGCCGCGCGGGCCTCCCACGAGGCCCAAAGCAGCACGCAGGGCATCGGCTTCTGCGCTCGTGGGCGCCCCCAGGTTGGCACAGTGCACCACGGCCGATCTCTGACTCACGCACCGCGCTAACGTCGGGGATGGACAGACCTCCCCTTAGTAAAAACGTGGTTTCATGAAAACGACCCGAGGCCCAAACCTGGCGGGCGCAAGCCTGGAAAATGACGGCCGCGGCGCAATTCTGGAAAATAACGGCGCAAGCCTGGAAAATAAAGCCGAGAACCGAAAACGGACAATTCACTAATCGACGTGTCACTGTTGGGGGTTCTGTCCGCCCCCGATAACGCCTGCCGCGTACACCAAGGCGGCGGAAGGAGGGCCCCGCGGGTTGGAGGCGGCCCGGAGGTCGAGCTGGAGTCCCAGACAATTATGAAGGGGAACTGGGACACACAAATAAATACACACAAATAAAAATATCCCCCATATTTTCCTATAGTTTCTGGGTTTTTGTCTTCCCCCACACTTCCCATATTTTCCCATCTTTTCTGGGAATCGCCGATTAATTGTGTCTGTGTGTTTTTTCCCCTCCTGAAATTAGTCAGGTCAATTCCGCTCAACATCGGACACAGGCTCCCTACTGGAGTTCATCTGATGCAGCGCTGCACCCGGATCCGTTCTGGACGGTCCTGGGACCAGAAAGCTGCCCCAGGCCTGCTGGCCAGAACCGGTGCTGGGCCATCTCAGACCCCTAGCCGACTCCAACGCCTGCGCAACGACGATGCATCGACGGTGCATCGGCGACACAAGCGGTAATTACATCGACGCCGTCGGCGTGAAAAACCTCAGGCCCCACATCGAGCCGCATCGCCGACGCATCGACGATGCGGCCCGATCCTCCGACCCCATCCACTCCGACCCTATCCTGGAGGCCTAAGTCCCATCGGTGGTTCAAAGATGGGGTCCTGAGAGATGGGGTCCTAAGGTTAAGTTGGACGGTTGGAAAACTATAAAGATAGACCGAAAATGCTCAAAATACTCGAACATCGACCCCAGACTAGCATTGGTTGGCTATTTTGAATGTTCCTCCTGTAGAGGGGCACGTCCGACTTAATCCTAAGGAAACGAAGGGATCCGAGGATTAGTCTGCATTGCTTGAGGCATCTCGTCCCTCGTTGCACCAATCCCTCGGGGATGCGCCCTCAGAAACTGAAGAAGACCCTCATGATTAGGGAGCCCACCAAAGACGTACGCGCCAAGCTATGTACATGAACACGGCCCCTCGATCCGCGAGACTGGCCGCGCGATACGACCATTTGCGCAGTGCGCATTCTCGAAACCAGCGTGGGGATTCATGTACGTGCGCATCCTTCCTTCGCTCCTGAAGTGATCAGCATCGGGATGCGGCGACGCCCCATCCTGGGGACGGGGATGTGCTTCAGGCTGGTATCCTCTGCTCCGACACTGTCTGGGAGGCCCAGACCCCAACATTCAGCAGGGAACGACCATCCTGGCATTCCTATAGGCCTACCACGACATGTTCTTAGAACCCCCAAAATGTTCAAAGAACAAGACAATGTTCTTAGAACATAAAGTCGATGTGTTAAAACAAGACAGATTCAACCAGCAGTCTTCTAAGAACACTTCGTGGAACCACCAAGGAGGGTCTTAGAACATCCTTCGGTAGGCCTGTAGGCAAGCCCGTACGCTTCGCCACTGCTTGAATCATCCTGGGGGCGGGGATGTGCTTCAGGCTGGTATCCTCTGCTCCGACACTGCCTGGGACTTTTATGGGCCCTGGAAACGGCAGGGCCGTTTTTTCACCGTTTCCAGAAAAATGTCCCTTGAAAATGGAAAAGGCAAAAAAAACGGCGACCGGAAACAGCAAAAAACGGCTCCAGGATTGGACCCGGAGCCGGAACCGGTCAACAAACGGCGACGGAACCGGTAAAACAACGGCGTCGGAACCTGCAACTAAAACGACAAACCGGAACCGGTAAAAAAACGGCCCTGTCGTTTCCAGGGCCCACTGAGGCCTGGGAGGCCGGCCTGCTTCTTAGAAGGCGCCGGCCTTGCATCTATGGATAAGGCCCGCGCCTTGTAAGCAGCAGGGGTGCTTCTAAGAAGCCCTCCCCCCTCCCTAAAACAGGGCTAAGATCGAGATAAATCGCTCCAGAGCGTTCCGGAGCGCTCTCAGAGCGTTCCGGAACGCTCTGGAGCGGCCGCGGCGCCCAATACATCCTCCAAACCCGCCGATTCTCAGAGATTTCGGGTTATCCCGATCCGATTTTGTCCCGATCTTCGCATCGTTTTACAGCAAGGAGGCAGGGAGGCTCCCCTCCTGGGGCAGGGCCGGCCCGGCAGGGGCGGCGGCGGCCGGCTCCGGCGGCGGGCGGGCGGCCGCGGCAGGGCGGGCCGCGCAAGGAGGACGGAGGAGGCGGAGGAGGAGGAGGAGGAGGAGGAGGAGGCGGAGGCCGAGAAGGAGGAGGAGGAGGAGGAGGAGGAGGAGGAGGAGCCTCGTCCATCTGGGCGTGCGTCTCCTCGAAGACGCAGTCCACCACGGCGCCGCTGACCTGGGCGCAGCGCGGACGAGGGCCGGCCTGCACGCGGAGGCTCTGCCTCTGCCTCCGCCTCCTCCTCCTCCTCCTCCTCCTCCTCCTCCTCCTCCTCCTCCTCCTCCGTCCTCCTCCTCCTCCTCCTCCTCCTCCTCCTCGTCCTCCTCCTCCTCCTCCTCCTCCTCCTCCTCCTCCTCCTCCTTTTAGGCAAGCAAGGACGCCTCGCCACAGCTTGACGGAGGGGGGCAGTCCTCCAGAGAGCCTTGTCGTTCGACGTCGGCAGCGCGGCAGACGAGGTGGCAGGCCGACCGACGAGGTGGGCCGCGCGGCGCTCGACGGCCGCGACGCGCCAGGCTCGTGGGGCCACTCCAGGGTAAACTTGTGGCTGGCGCCGCAGCACCGAGCTCCGAAGAGCACCGTCGGCCCCGAGAGTGCACCGAGGCCTCCTGCGTGCACGCCGTCCCTGTGAGGCGATCCCCGCCTCCTCCTCCTCCTCCTCCGCCTCCTCCTCCTCCGCCTCCTCCTCCTCCGCCTCCTCCTCCTCCTCCTCACTCCTGACTCCTCCTCCTCCTCCTCACTCCCACTCCTCCTCCTCCTCCGCTTCCTCACTCCTCACTCCTCCTCCTCCGCTTCCTCCTCCTCCTCCTCCTCCTCCTCCTCCTCCTCCTCCTCCTCCTCCTCCTGCGAGGGATCCACCATGCCGTGCACGCCGTCCCTCTGCCGGGGCTCCCTCGGTGCACGCACGCTGCGGGGGACGGCGCGCGCAGTGCGCGCGGGCCGGCGGCGCCCCACAGCGCACGCTACACTCTGCAGTGCCGGCCGCAAGACGACGGGGGTCCTTTTGGGCGTTGCTTCGTGAGGGGGGGAGGAGGAGGAGGGGAGGAGGAGGAGGAGGAGGAGGAGGAGGAGGAGGAGGAGGAGGAGGAGGAGGAGGAGAGGAGGAGGAGAGGAGGAGGAGGAGGAGGAGGAGGAGGAGGAGGGAGGAGGGAGGAGGAGGAGGAGGAGAGGAGGGGAGGAGGAGGAGGAGGAGGAGGAGGGGAGGAGGGGAGGAGGAGGAGGAGGAGGAGGAGAGGAGGAGAGGGAGGAGGAGGAGAGAGGGAGGAGGGAGGAGGAGGAGGAGGAGAGAGGAGGAGTGAGTGAGAGTGAGGAGTGAGGAGTGAGGAGTGAGGAGGAGTGAGGAGGAGGAGGAGGAGGAGGAGGAGGAGGAGGAGGAGGAGGAGGAGGAGGAGGAGGAGGAGGAGGGGGACAGGGCGAAGGGACATGCACTTTTCGTGCCCCCTTTGGGCCCCAGAGGGCTCCTTTCAGCACCCCTATGGTGCACGGCAGGTGCACCTTCCTTCGCACCCCATGGCGCCACGCCCGAGACCTGTTCTCTCTCTCTCTCTGTTAATACAGCGCGCAACATCCGATGAGCATGCGCTGTCCGCGAGTCTTGCAGACACCTGGCCGCCAAGCCTCGTGCACGGGACAAGGCCATGAGAGCAAAAAACGACAACGCCCGAGCCCTCTTTTCTAGAGGCCTCCTAGATGGGGTCCGAGTAGATGGGGTCGGAGGAGCGCGCCGCATCGCCAATGCATCGCCGATGTATCGGTGCTGCATCGGCGATGCATCTGCGACGTCGGCGATGCATCGGCGACGTCGGCGTGGGAAAACACGGGCTCCACATCGAGCCACATCCTCGATGCATCGGCGATGCGGCGCGATCCTCCGACCCCATCTACTCCGACCCCATCTGGGAAGACTCGACCATAGGGTACCGGACGCCATCACTCGCAAGGGGGCAATTGCAGGGCGGCACGTGGGGGCGGGGGTAGGGGAAAGACGACACAGTGGCGAGACGAGGAACATAGAAGAAAAAAAAAACGCCATTAACATAAACATTCGACGCTCCACGCGGATTCCAAGGATGCGCCAGACCCCTCTCCCTGGCGCGCGGAGCGCGCCAGGGGCGGCGCCGCAGGCGCCGCCAGGGGGTCCAGCGCGGATCCGAGAAATCCGCGCCGACCTCCGAGTTTGTATGTTTGTCATTTCGGGCGTTGGCAGAACTGGGTCTAATTGGACCTGGTTGAGTGATGTGTACTGCGGGGCGCCCCCCCGCCCCGTTCCACTAACCGGAACTGCCGTCACCCGAAAAAACACCGGCTACGGCAGACCTGGTTTAGTGATTCTGGCCGATTTAGGGGCTCCAGGGCCCTACTACTAACCGGATCCCCATACTTAGGGTCCTGGCTATACAAAATCATTCTTCGCTAGGAGGTCGGAGATGACGACGACGACGATGACGACGATCGCCGACGCCGACGCCGACGACGCCGACGACGACGACGACGAACGCCGACGACGCCGACGACGCCGACAACGCCGACGACGACGACGCCGCCGCCGCCGACGACACCGACGACGAACGCCGACACGCCGGGACGTCCCGTCGCAGCGCGCGTTTATAGAAGTCAAAGAATCCACCCCCATGATAACCACCCCGGCACGCGAAGTCGTTTCAAAGACGCGCCCCCCCAAAAAAGGGAATTCAACAGGGCAGGGCTGTGTAATGAACGCCCAGGGCCGTTTATCGGGGCTGGACAGAACCCCCAACAGTGAGACGTTGATTAGTGAATTGTCCGTTTTCGGTTCTCGAGAGGGCGCCGTGGCCGCTATTTTCCAGGCTTGCGCCCGCCAGGTTTGGGCCTCAGGTCGTTTTCACTAAACCACGTTTTACTAAAGGGGGGTCTGTCCATCCCCGAGTTTAGTAAACGCGAATTGTCCGGTCCGGGTGGTTGTTCTTCCCTTGCGGGGAGGGAGGCGTGGGGCCCGCCGCCTGCGCCAGCGTGCCGGCGAGGGGCCCGGGCTCGGGCTGGTCGCACAGGGCCCGCACCACCGCCAGGGAGGCCTCTGCGGCCGTGGGGCCGCCGCCGTCGCCGCCGAAGGGCGCCCGTCGCCGCCGTGGTGCCGCCGTGGCCGTCGCCGTCGTCGGCGTCGTCGCCGCTGCAGCCGACGTCGTTGCCGCCGCCGACGCGGTCGGCTTCGCCTTCGCCGTCGCCGCCGTTGTCGGCGTCGTGGTCGCCGCCACTGCCGTCTTCTTCGTCTTCGTCATGGTCGTCATCGTGGTCGTCTTCGTCGCAGTCGTCTTCGTCGTCGTCGTCGCCGTCGCCGCCGCCACCACCGCCGCCGCCGCGGTCGTCGTCGATGTCGTGGTGATTGCCGTTGTCGCCGTTGCCGCCGCTGTCGTCCTCGTGGTCAGCATCATTGTAGTCGTCTCCCTCGTTATCATCATCGTTCGCCTGCTGACGCTGACGCTGCCAGCAGGTTCGAACAAACTCCGATAAACTCCTCCTCCCCCTCCTCCTCCTCCTTCTCGTCCTCCTCATCATCAGCATCATCAGCATCATCATCAGTATCAGCATCATCATTACCACCACCACCACCACCATCATCATCATCATCATCGATCATCATCATCATCAACAACAACATCATCATCATCATCATCATCATCATCATCATCATCATCATCATCATCATCATCATCAACACCAGCATCATCATCATCATCATCATCATCATCATCACCGGCATCGTCATCGTCATCATCATCATCAGCAACATCATCTGCATCATCACCATCATCATCATCATCATCATCATCATCATCATCACCATCACCATCATCATCATCATCACAATCACCATCATCGTCATTATCATCAACATCGTCATCATCATCATCATCATCATCATCATCATCATCATCATCATCATCATCATCATCATCATCATCATCATCATCATCATCATCATCGTCAGCATCATCATCATTAGCATCAGCATCATCATCAGCATCAGCAACATCGCTCTCCTCCTCCTCCTCATCCTCCTCTCCTCCCCTCGTTCCTCCCGGTCTGCCTCCTCCTCCTCCTCCTCCTCCTCCTCCTCCTCATCATCATCATCATCATCATCATCATCAGCAGCATCATCATCATCATCATCTGCATCATGACCACCACCATGACCATCACCATCATCAGCTCCATTCACCTCCACCATCACCAACACCATCACCATCACCATCACAAGTATCATCACCATCACCAACATCATGATCAGCATCAACAACATCGCTCTCCTCCTCCTCCTCCTCCTCCCCTCCCCTCCCGGTCCTGCCTCCTCCTCCTCCTCCTCCTCCTCCTCCTCCTCATCATCATCATCATCATCATCATCATCATCATCTGCATCATGACCACCACCATGACCATCACCAGCATCAGCTCCATCACAAGTATCATCACCATCACCAACATCATTATCAGCAGCAGCAACATCATCATCATCATCATCATCATCATCATCATCATCATCATCATCATCATCAGCATCATCACCACTTTCCGTCGTCCCTCTTCAACCTCCTCCTCCTCCTCCTCCCAGGCCCTCGCCACCATCATGGAGGCATGCTACCCAGTAGGGGATCGTGCGCCAGAGTCTTTATCCTTCTCATACTCGTATTCCTTCTCTCCCTCTACCTCCTCCTCCTCCTCCTCCTCCTCCTCCTCCTCCTCCTCCTCCTCCTCCTCCTCCACCTCCCCCTCCTCCTCCTCCCCCTCCTTCTCCTCCCCCTCTACCTCCTCCTCCTCCTCCTCCTCCTCCTCCTCCTCCTCCTCCTCCTCCGCCTTGATCATCCTCCTCCCTCGTTCTCCCCTTCGCCCCCCGCTCCCCCCCCACTCCCCGCTCCGGCTTCCCCCATCCCGGCCCCCTCCCGCCCCTCCAGGTCCCCCCCCCTGGCTTGGCCGCGCAGGCGCCTCCAGCGCGACGTAGGTGGAGGGGCCCGCGAACTCCGGACTCCTCGGCCGGAGGCCTCCACCCTCACCCCCGCCGGCGCCCATCCCTCTAGCAGGGGGTGTCGACCCCTGTCCCAGGCGTCGTGGGGCTTCCAAATAGAATCAGAACGTCGGGGCCCAACCCTAGGATGTGCGAGGGGGGGGCGTCCATCCTCCACAGGGGTGCGTCCGAATAGCCCCCTTGGGATGTATCCCAGGGCTTCCCTCCTTCTTCGGGGCAGAGGTCCGAGCAGGCGCCCGAAGGCGTCACGCCCCACGAGTGGTGACGACGAAATGACAAAAGAGGCCTGCCAGGACGAGCAGCGCTGGCGGCGGAGGTGAAACATGTGACGCAGCATTCACGGGCGCGCTTTGGTGGGGAGGGGAGGGGAAGGGAGGAGCGAAAAAGGGGGAGGAGGAGGAGGAGGAGGAGGAGAAGCAGGAGCAGGAGGAGGAGGAGGAAGAGGAGGAAGAGGAGCAAGAGGAGCAAGAGGAGGAAGAGGAGCAGAGAGGAGAGGAGGAGGGGGAGGAGGAGGAGGAGGAGGAGCAGGAGGAGGAGAGGAGGAGAAGCAGGAGCACGAGAAGTAGAGGAGGAAGAGGAGCAAAAGAGGAGGAGGAGGGAGGAGGAGAGGAGGAGGAGGAGGAGGAGGAGGAGGAGGAGGAGGAGGGAGGAGGAGGAGGCGGAAGAGGAGCAAGAGGAGGAGGAGGAGGAGGAGGAGGAGGAGGATCAGGAGGCGGAGGGCTCCCCTTCTCGTCGAAAGAGTTTGTCGTGGTTGGGGGGGTAGCGAGGAGTCGCCCGCGACCCCTGGCGCCCTGCCCTCCCCCGAGCGCTGCAAAGCTCCCCCCCCCCGTGGGCGGGGCCGGCGCGCGAGGCTGGCGAGAGGGCCCTGCGCACCGCCGCTCGGGCGTCCGCCGCCCCTGCGCACGGTTGCCTCGGCCTCGCGCGCGCGCGCCTGCTCCGCAAGGGGGGCGGAAAAGCTCCTCGACCCTGACCTTCCAGTTTGGACGCCCGAAATGGGTACGGAAAGAATGGGTACGATGTCCAACAGCGGTCCCTGCTCATTTTGAACAGGACTCGCTGTCGGTGTCGCCGCGGCCTGTGTACATTTGAGACAGGAGGCCGCCTGCCCAACAGCGGCCGCTGTTGGTTTGGGCCAACATTTGTTGTTGGGCATCGTACCCTTTCTTTCCGTACCCATCTCGGGCGTCCAAATCCAGGAGCGCAACAAAAAAAGCTCCAGACCTATAGGCCGACCGGGACTGCCTCCAAAGCCCGGCAGGACTTCAGGTGTGGAGCTCCTGGTGCTACACGTGCTGGCCCCCGAGGAGGGTCCGGGGATGGCCCTCGCCGAGGGGTAGAGAAGGAACCCGCCCGAGCGATGCCAAGCCGAGGGCGAGGAGGAGGAGGAGGAGGCGGAGAGGAGGAGGGAGGAGGAGGAGAGGAGGAGGAGGAGGAGGGGGGGGGGGGGGGGCAGCGGTCGGGCGGCGACGCCCGGGGCCCTTCCCCGCCCAGGGCCCCCCCCCGTCGGCCCCCATCGCCCCCTCCAGCACCGAACGGGGGGGTTCCTCCTCCTCCTCCTCCTCCCTCCTCCTCCTCACTCTCCTCCTCCTCCTCCTCCTCCTCCTCCGTCGAGCCCGGGCTCCGTCGGCGGCGCCCCTCTGTGGAGGGCGGAGGAGACTGGAAGGGGCCCATGGACACAGAGGTAAATACACCACGCGAAATGGTTAAGAAATCATGGGTTAAGAAATTCATAGTCTCAGAACTTGAATAAAAACCCAACGTTTCTATCAAAATCTTAGGATTTACATTGAAACAGTAAGAATAATCGAGACTCTGGCCGAAAACTTAAGTTTTCTTAAGCATCGCCTGAGGTGTACAAACACACCTCCCAGATGCCCTAGAGGTTCTCAACTTGTCTCGATGTTCTTCCCCCCCACGTTCCCATCGTTTACCGCATCTTCCCGGGAGTCGACGATTGCCGATGTCTGTGTCTGCATCTCCCCTTCCTGAGAGATGCGGGGATCGGGCATGGCCTCTCTGTGCCAATGCCCATGCCTGCCTCGTCTCCGGGCCCCTGGATGCCTCCGAGAGAACCTCCTGGGGGCTGATGCTCGTCCCCTCCCGTCCGCATCCCGTCCTCGTGCACGCTGGTCGCTATGCTCCCGTGGAGGTCTCGAGAGGACTCGGCAGACCTCCGGGGGCTCCTGCTCGTCCCCTTCGTCCTCCTCCTCCAGCTGCTGTCCAACTGCTGTCCAACTGCTCTCCAACGGCCGGCCACCCTTCCTTGTCTAGAAGAAACATAACAATAATCCCACCAGCCCTTTGGGCTAAGGTGCCCTAGCGATATGTTCCTCTCCTCTTCGAATAACACTCTTCCATTCGGGAGGCCTACCCCCCCTCCAGGAAGTCGGCCAGGACGCCCAAGACGGCCCAAGATGGTCAAGAGGGACCCAAGAGGGCCAACGATAGCCCAAGATGGCCTCCAAGATAGTTCAAGATAGCCAATGATGATGCAAGATAGCTTCAGACATACATCCAGGAGGCCCGACGAGGACCGCAGGACGGTTCCAAGTGCGGTTGAAGCTCCCTCAGGACCTCTCCAAGCGGCCAAATTCCTTCCAGCCACAAATTACAAATCTGTGAATGTTGCCTTCTCGTCGTGCCGCTTCCGACGCACTTTTCGAGGCCTCAACAAGATTGCCCCAGGATGGCCCCAGAGAGAGTCCAAAAGGAGGCGCGAGGGGCTCCGCAGACGGCCCCGAGAGCGCCCGAGATCGGCCCAGGCGCGCCCCGAGAGGCGAAGTGTATGGCCCAAGGGGGGGGATGAACATCGCAGACCCCCCTCCTTTGATCGATGGCCAAGGGACCCTCAGGGGAGCCCCAAGAGGGTCCCAAGACGGCACCGAGACGGCCCCAAGAGAGCCCAGGAGCGTCCCACAATGGCCCCACGAGGCGGGCTGCTTCTTCCACCTCCTCCTCCTCCTCCTCCTCTCCTCCTCCTCCTCCTCCCCTCCTCCTCCTCCGACTCCTCTCCTCCTCATCCTCCTCCTCCACACCTCCTCCTCCCCTCCTTCACCTCCTCCTCCTCCTTCACCTTCTCCTCCTCCTCCCCTCCTCCTCCTCCTCCTCCTCTTCCTCCCCCCTCGGCCCCCCGCCTGCACCAGGGATGGCCCGAAGAGGCCCTCCGGGGCCACCTTCTCGCACCCAAAGATCTAAATGTTCATCCTGGTTGCCCGCTTTATTTGACTACTCCAGATTTCGTAATAAAAGGGAGAGGGTCTGGACCCTCCAAGACAAGCCATTTCAGACCCCCCCCCGTGGGAGAACCCTCCAAAACATCGTCCCCAGACCCCCCCAGGCCCTCCAAGATAGCTTGGAAGAGACCCCCCCGAAATGAGACCCCCCTCCCTTCATTACGAAATCTGGAGCAAATGTTCCTCCTGGTTGCCAGCTTTGTTTGACTAAATGTGTCTCTTCCTTCCGTTTCCCGTCGGCTCCCTGGGGAACGCTGCTGAACGGACTGGTGGGGATATCTCGGGCGTGAGACCTTCGCGGCGTTCTTGGATCTGCGCTGCACCCTGCGAAATGCTTAAGAAATCATGGGTTAAGAAATTCATAGTCTCAGAACTTGAAATCTAACCCAACATTTCTATTAAATCTTAAGATTTACATTGAAACGTTAAGAATAGTCGAGACTCTGGCCGAAAACTTAAGTTTTCTTAAGCATCGCCTAAGGTGTGCACCCCCCTCTCTGGCTAGGGAAGCGCTCCAGGGGCGGCGCTGGAGGTGCACCCAGGGGGGCCCAGGCGCCGACCTGAAAAATCCGCAGGGAGCTTGGAAAGTTTGGTTATGTGTATGAGGCTCGTTCTCCTTCGAATCCTCCTCCTCCTCCTCCTCCTCCTCCTCCTCCTCCTCCAGTGCCTCCTCTTCCTCCTCCAGTGCCTCCTCCTACCATCCTCCTCCTCCTCCTCCGACTGCTGTCCCCCTTTCTTGATCACTGTGCCCGCCATCCTTCGCATGTTGCCAAAGGTGCCCCTGGCCCAAGGTGCCCCCGGATTGTCGCTCATAACCAGCCTCGAACGTATCCATATCCCTAAGATGGGCGAGCAAAAAGCGGGGACAATCTTAGGGACAGGCCCTCAGAAACTGAGGGAACCCTTAAGATCGGCACCGAGGTGAGGTGATGTCAAACATAGGGATAGGGATACACCACGCGAAATGGTTAAGAAATCATGGGTTAAGAAATTCATGGTCTCAGAACTTGAATAAAAACCCAACATTTCTATCAAAATCTTAGGATTTACATTGAAACGTTAAGAATAATCGAGACTCTGGCCGAAAACTTAAGTTTTCTTAAGCATCGCCTAAGGTGTATGCTTCAAACTGGTAAGCTCAACGTCTGAGCCCCCCAAGGTGCCTCTGGTCCTCGTGAGGGGTGCCCTGCGGAGGCCGGGGGGCTCCTCGGACCGCCTGGGAGCACCCCGGGAGGCCGGGGGCTCCTCGGGGAACTCCTGGGAGCACCTCTGGCCCTCGTGAGGGGTGCCCTCTGGAGGCCGGGGACTCCTCTGGCACTCCTGGGAGCAGCAGCTCTGGCCCAGGGCACCTCCGGCAACACTCCCGACCGGACGCGGGTGGCTCACGCGGGCCGCCAGGGCAGGCCACTTCCGCGCGACCTGGCCATCGCTCGGACGTCCATTCCCTGTGCATTTTTGTCCGGTTCCGTGCGTGGTTCTGCCGCAGGATGATCCAAGATGCTCCTTACTAAGCCCCGCCGAGAGTGAGTGCACACGTCCGAGCGATGCCAAGCGACTGTCGGCGCAGTCGACTCCACGCAGTCGAATCCCACGTCACGCCTCACCACCCTCTCTGCCGGCGCTCCGCACGATCTGCAGCAGCGGCGCCAGCAGGGCGTCGGCCGTGGGCTCCCTGCCGAACCGCCACTCGTTGAGGAGCCGCACGGGGGAGTCCTTGGCGCCCACTGGCTGGGCGAGCGCTACGTCCCCCCCCTGACTCCTCCTCCTCCTCCTCCTCCTCCTCCTCCTCCTCCTCCTCCTCCTCACCACCACCACCACCACCACCACCACCACCACCACCACCATCATCATCATCATCATCATCATCATCATCATCATCATCATCAGCATCAGCATCATTATCAGCATCATCATCATCATCATCATCATCATCATCATCATCATCATCATCATCATCATCATCATCATCATCATCTTCATCATCATCATCATCAGCAGCAGCATCATCATCATCAGCATCATCAGCATCATCAGCATCATCATCATCATCATCATCATTACCATCATCATCATCATCATCATCATCATCATCAGCAGCATCATCATCGTCATCATCAGCAGCATCATCATCACCACCATCATCATCTGCATCATCATCATCATCATCAGCAGCATCATCATCAGCAGCATCATCATTATTAGCATCAGCATCATCATCAGCAGCATCATCATCACCAGCAGCATCATCATCATCACCATCCTCATCATCATCACCATCATCATCAGCAGCATCATCATCAGCAGCATCATCATCACACTCATCATCATCATCATCATCATCAGCATCATCATCAGCATCATCATCATCAGCAACATCATCATCATCACCATCATCATCAGCAGCAGCATCATCATCCCTCTCCTCCTCCTCCTCCTCCTCATCCTCCTCCTCCTCCTCTCCTCCTCATCCTCCTCCTCCTCCTCCCACTCCCCTCGTCCTCCCGGTCTGCCTCCTTCTCCTCCCTCAGCCTCAGCCTGCCTCGGCCTCAGCCTGCCTCGGCCTCAGCTCGCCTCAGCTCGGGCAGTTGTAGAAGTCTGATGTTCTCGCAGTCGCAGTCGCATTCGCAATGACAGTCGCAGTGGCAACGGCCTTAGGATCCAATGGAATCCTAAGGATTCCTAGGGATTCCTAAGGCATCCTTAGGAATCATTAGGAATCCTGATTCCTAGGAATTCCTATGCATTCCTAAGGATTCCTAGGGCACCCTCAGGATTCCTAAGGATTGCCTCAGCCTGCCTCGGCTTGCCTCAGCCTCAGCCTCAGCCTGCCTCGGCCTCAGCCTGCCTCGGCCTCAGCCTGCCTCAGCCTCCCCTCCTCCCCCCCCTCTCCCCCTTCCCCCGCCCCCATTCAGCCTCACCTTGTCTCAGCTTCGGCCTGCCTCGGCATCATCCTCAGCCTCAGCCTCAGTCTCAGCCTCAGCCTGT